TTCCCTTAGATTGGCATAAAAGAAGAAGTATTTTTTTTTTCAATTTCCTTTATGGCTTTTAGTTCTTCCTGTGATTCTTGTCTCCTATAAGATTCCTTCAGCTTAAATTCGATATCTGCAATTGCATTGACTAGTGCTTCCCTTCGTATTTCAGAAATATTGGCCCAACTCAGCAGTTCTGTGACTCTTTGCCTCCGTCTGTATAGGGAACGTCTCTCTCTTTCTTACATCTTCTCTTTCTTTTTCTTAATGGAATGTGTCTTAAGCAGATCTCAAGAACCACAGAATTCGTTTTTTCAAGGCAGACAGATGTTCGGGTCCGTGTTGTTTAGGATATCTTCCCAGCTTGCTTCATTTAGGACATGGTTTACTTGATCCCATTGTATGTGTTTATTATTGAAATTGAATTTCGTGAATAGACCTTCATGACTGCTTACATTTTGCTGGTCCGGAGCCCTGTGCATACATGTCTGTACCTCTGTTATGTTGTGATCTGAGTGAATTGTCTTTGATACAGTTTTATTACGTATCAGATCATCATTGTTTGTGAAGATGAGGTCCAGCGTAATTCTAGTCTTTTAGGCTCTACTATTTGCTGGTTTAAGGCGAATTTGTTGCAGAGATTTAATAGTTCGTGTGTGTGTGAATTTTCATCTGAGCTGCCTCCCAGGGTGATCTCTGCTAAAACATTGTTTGCTATACTCCTCCATTTTAGGTGTCTCAGGTTGAAATCTCCTAGTAGTAAGATGTTTGGGGCAGGAGTTGGGAAATTTTCCAGACAGTGGTCAATTTTCTCAAGCTGCTCTGTATTAAAACAGAAGAAGCCACTCATGGCGAAACATTTCCTATAATAAATGTCCTGAACTGTACATGAGTGTCTTTCTCCATACATGGGTATTTGCTGGGACCACACTTTGATGTGGAAACATCACTCGGTGTCTACGTAAGCTTCAATACTTCCACAAACCTTCATCAGACGAGCATGAAGAGCTTAGAGGAACTTTGCTGGTCATGTGTCATTAGCTGATTCTCTCAGACTTCTATAAGCAGGCTTTCTATCTGCTAAGACAGCCCAGTCGCATCAGTAGAAACTTGGTAAGATCCAATTCAGGAATGTAAACACTTCTTTGGGAGAACTTGCTTCCTTTTGGATGGATATTTCTCATATATAAACTACCTTAATGCCACTGTCATTTCTGATGAAGCTCCTCATATTTATTTTTAATTTTATAGGTTGTGTACGTTTTCATTTTCCAGCTTAGTCAACCTACAAAAAAGACACTCACAAAGTTAAGTATGAACGATTTTGCTGGGTGAGTAGACAATGTCGATAACTAGATAGTAATGGAGAAGACAGTTGTGGTTTTGGGACGCTTCCTGGAGCATTGAGGAGTGTCGTATGAGCGTCCCAGGACGTTTTTTTTCTTTTTTGCCGAAGAGCCCAAATTTGAAGCCTGAATAACTTGTGGTTTCATAGGAAAGAATGTGTATATGGAATCTACATCTTATCGTCTCTCAGAGCACGTGTCTGTGTGCTCAGCAGAGTTGTGCTCCATTTATAAGCTTACTATTTTTTAGAGCGGCCGTATTTGCCATCGGAGACTGGGTGTCGTCTAATTATTCTTAATGGATGCTTGGTGGGTTAGGCGATTTACGCAGTGGTAGTCATTCTGTTGTACATGAGACCTATGTACACATCAAAAGCGTAGCGTTGTTTTCAGATGTCCCAAGTCATAACAGCATTGTCGGAAACGCGCGATGAGAAGGAGAGGTCAGTGACTCAGTAATTAAGTTGCTGAGAGGTATTTATCTAGATTTAATTAAGAGTCCCTTCTCTGGGACTGGTAAGCCGAGTGGGACTGGTGATTATTCCCAGCTGGTACCTAGGAGGAATGGGTATGCAGACTTCGACTAAAGTGCGCGAGAGTTGATAGGCTGCAACTTTTTGGACTGAAATGAAGGACTGTGCCGGTCTGTCAGACACTCAGTACAGCGATCCAAACCGTGGAACGGGTGGAGTTTGAACCCATGGCGAGTGAGTCGTAAAACTCCAGGCCCGTGCGTATGCTCTCCAAGCTGAAGGATTGACCACCTCAAATACTTTGACTCCAAGGTTGATGGACTGATTGCATCATCTTTACTTCACTACTACACCTGCTTCCTCTGTATTTGCCTGAGGAAGCCTACTGTGTAAGCGAACCTTTTCAACAGTAAATATACCCAACTACTGCACACATGTCTTGCTCTAAACAGCCTGAGACCTGAATGTATCAAGTTCATGTATAAAGCTAAGCACAGATATACACACATTATTAAGAAAGGGATTACAGTTAAACTTTTGTGGATTCTATCTCACACAGGCCTCCAGGAGCACGACAAAGTTCTTGAATTAGCTAAACAAGCATTAAATGTAGAGAATGTTGAGTATAATTTTGCTCTTTCATACAAAAGTTGACGAAACATTATCTGAAAGGAACTAGTAAACGAACTTGAAGAAAGTAGAACAGTACAGATTTAAACTTGCAGGTCAACTATTCATCATAGTAAAATGTGTCAAGTTAAACATGTCTATGAAGAAAGTAACAAGGTCAGTAGACTGCAAGATTACTGCTAGAATATAAGTTTATGGCAATACGGTTTGTATGGAGTTGTTAGTGATATAAAATATAAAATGTGCGGACAGACAGGGCCATACACTGGAACATTATATCTTACACAAACATCTTCATGCAAACCTTATAGGATATAGCAAAACAACTTATTATTAATGAGAAAATATCTGAAATATTGAAGGTTGTATCCACCACATTTTGCATCGTCTAGATGAATGGACATTTTCTTTTTAGATAAGATTGCAACCAATTTATGACCAATATATTTTAGTGGTAATATATAAATTTCTTCTGAGATTGTATCCTTTACTGTATTATATACATAAACTATATGAAGTAATTGTAAAATATGAAATAACCAATATTTCTTTCTAGTGATGGAGCAATGTTTAGTAGGGTCTGACAGACCCACTGTGACGCCTATGGTACAATTTCTTGAGTTCTTGCTCACAGGCTGAGCTGCGGTTGCACAATAAACTGGCCGCTCAGGCGGCACAACTGCGTCACAAGATGTTAGAGAGAGAACCATTCCTCCCTCCTGCTGATAACAGCAAGGTGGGAGACTAGTGTGTGTATATATATGTATATATATCGCGAAGAGACACCTGGTGAAGCTCTCACTCACAACAACACGTAACACGGTAACTCAGTAATTATTATTCTCAAATTTTTATAATCAAGACCAAGCGCTAAAGCCACAAGAGCATCCCAATTAAAAGTGGAATAAAATCGAGTGAGCATCATCATAAAACAAGTTAATTTCAACATGAAGGCTATGATATTACTTGCTGGGATCCTCTTATTTGCTGGTGAGTTCTGGAACACCAAGTTTTCACTAGTTCCTCCATTATTATTATTATTATTATTATTATTATTATTATTATTATTATTATTATTATTATTAAACAGAAGTGCTAAACCCACTAGAATCATACAGCGCTGGACTAGTTCCTCCAGTAAAGTAATTTAATCTTTTAATTGGCTCAATGAGTATTTTTCCCGGCTTTGCTACAGTTTTTCGGAGTGATTTGTGCACATGGTGGTTATTTTGTGTTGAATACCAGATATATTAATATAAGGAACATATAACTACAACTTGCTACATGGTCATAGATGACAGGTGTATGTACAAACGATTTCAACATTATTATATATAAGTGTTTTGATTATTTAACTTATACATCCATCCCCCCCCCCACACTCATTCTAACTCCATTATTAACAAAATTAATTACATTTTGCAGTGCCCGGCAACCTTAGTTTATATGACATTTTTACAATGAGCAAGTGTGTGATTACCCAACACAATTTTGTAGTTCCTCGTCTCTTTGGCAAGTTAAATGTGTATGTTTGTGTGTGGTGCAGGTGGACAAGGCTGCGACGTTGGTTGGGTGCAAATCCAGGAATCATGTTTCATGTTCCACATGAATGTTATGCTGTCGTGGCAAGACGCACGCGCCTTTTGTCAAGACTCTGAAAGTGACCTGGCCAAGGTTGTTGATGGTGACACACACAGAGGTGTCTATGTGTACATCCATACTTACGGTATGTGACCTCATGAATACGCATCGAATGAACAAGCGCTTTCGTGACATCAGCCTCGAATCTCGATTAAGCTAACTTGCTTCTGAAGATGTGTGGCCGAGTCTACGAAAGCGCTTGAGCATTCAGTTTAGAGCGAACTGTAAATTAAATGCAAGACAAGTGATTTCTTTGAAGTTACCTTCTCCTGCGTTTTAACACATACTGAATATAGACATTACAGCATTTGCTGTGCCATTAAAACTCTTATTCCAGTTTTTTCACAAAAACACTTATTTGGTACGTACAAGAATCATATCTACTATTAGGTAGAAAGACACAAGTGTAGCTAATACGGCATTTAATTGTGGCAACGTTTCGTTCTCCAGGAGTTTTGTCAAGCCGTTACAAACAATATAAGGACAGAGGGGGGTATATATATATATATATATATATATATAATATATATATATATATATATATATATATATATATATATTATATATATATAAATATATATATATATTTTTTTTTTTTTTTTTTTTTTTTTTTTTTCAACAAGTCGGCCGTCTCCCACCGAGGCAGGGGGACCCAAAAAAGAAAGAAAATCCCCAAAAAGAAAATACTTTCATCATCATTCAACACTTTCACCACACTCGCACATTATCACTGTTTTTTGCAGAGGTGCTCAGAATACAACAGTCTAGAAGCATACACATATAAAGATACACAACATATCCCTCCAAACTGCCAATATCCCAAACCCCTCCTTTAAAGTGCAGGCATTGTACTTCCCATTTCCAGGACTCAAGTCCGACTATATGAAAATAACCGGTTTTCCTGAATCCCTTCACTAAATATTACCCTGCTCACACTCCAACAGATCGTCAGGTCCCAAGTACCATTCGTCTCCATTCACTCCTATCTAACACGCTCACGCACGCTTGCTGGAAGTCCAAGCCCCTTACCCACAAAACCTCCTTTACCCCCTCTCTCCAACCCTTTCGAGGACGACCCCTACCCCGCCTTCCTTCCCCTATAGATTTATATGCTTTCCATGTCATTCTACTTTGATCCATTCTCTCTAAATGACCAAACCACCTCAACAACCCCTCTTCTGCCCTCTGACTAATACTTTTATTAACTCCACACCTTCTCCTAATTTCCACACTCCGAATTTTCTGCATAATATTTACACCACACATTGCCCTTAAACAGGACATCTCCACTGCCTCCATATATATATATATATATATATATATATATATATATATATATATATATATATATATATATATATATATATATATATATATATATATATATATATATATATATATGCACCCTCTGTGTCCTGTATTGCTTGTAACGGCTTGACAAAGCTCCTGGAAAGCGAAACGTTGCCACGATGAAATGTCGCATTAACTACACTTGTGTCCTTTTTACGTAACATACTGTCGGTAATTTTGCTAACATTATTACAATGTGGTGGTGCGTGTCTGAGGTAGGACTGAGTGGCTCTTTCTGGCTGGGTGCATCAGACACGGCATCGGAAGGTGACTGGGTGTGGGTGACTGACGACACCAGAGTGGAGAAAGGAACCCCATACTGGGCCCTCGGGTACAATATCTTCGGTAAGTGATATATAATTCTTAATCTTGAAGGCCCGAGTTTACAAATGATTAAATGATGAAATATATGATTACATCCTTACCTTTAACGCTTAACCCGCTAGGGTTATACACCGCTGCAGGGTAGGAGCCCATAATTCCAGTTTCATCAGTAAAATATCTGGGAATCACCTCTGACCCATGCATGTCAGGAGAATTTATAGGGAACAACGTAGTACAGAAAGCGATTGTCAGACTGAAGTTTCTCTACAGATAGGCACAGTGTTTATCTACTGAGGCTCACAGGACCCTATGTCTAGCTCTTATACAATATCGTGGTACTCTGCCTTGACATAAAAACTGAAAGACAGACTGCAAATCACCCAGAACAAAATGGTAAGATTCATACTGGACCTGGGTCCAGTATGTAGGCCAGGATGAATTACAACAATTGGATATAGTGAATGTTGAAGACAGAGTAAAACAGCTGTAGTTGAATCAAGTTTATAAAATTGCTCACAAACAGTGTCCAGAATATCTTGCTGCCAATTTTGCCAAGGCTGAGAACCAAAGCAATCATAGTACTAGGGGGAGAGAGCACAACTTTGTAGTACCCACAGTCAGTGGCCAGGTTTCAAACACCTTTTATTGTACAGCAATAAAGAAATGGAACAGACTGCCTGCACATGTCAAAGCCAGTCACAGCATGAACCAGTTCAAGAAGACTGCCAGAAGGTGTCTGATGAATGTAGCAACAGAAAGGGAGGAGAATGATTTTTTTAAGCTAACACATACAAATATACATAACTCATTTTACTTTATTCCTAGTATATCTACTTTATAGTATAATAATAAGATATTATCTCCTTTATAGTATAATAACGAGGTATTAAAAGCACTCCCAATGGAAATAAGTCACTGTCTGACTTTTTTTTAAGTTATCCTAGGTTCTCTACACACATGCTTCTATGTATGATAATCTGTGTAATTGTATTTGTGTATACTTGAATAAACTTACTTACCTGTGTGCTAAAAGTGTAATATTCTTGATCAGAAACCAGCGAGGGTGAAAGATATGTCAGAGGCAGAGTTAGTAACTGCAGTGAAGAGCCTTCAATACACATATAACCGACATATAGGTGAGAGGAGCTTACGACGACGTTTCGGTCCGATTTGGACCATTTACAAAGTGGTTGTCAAAGAATGGTCTACAGTACCGACAAGATGAAAATTAATGACAAGTGCAGCATCTGGGTATCTTTATTGTAGACGTTTCGCCCTCCAGTAGCTTTATCAATACGAATTCAAGGACATAATGGGAAGACAGTAGAACTATGTACAATAAGCAAGTGATTACCTCATATTTTGTATATAGTTCTACTGTCTTCCCGTTATATCCATAAATTTGTATTGATAAAGCCACGAGATGGCCTAACGTCTACAATAAAGATGTTGCACTTGTGTCTAATTTCCATTATTTACAAAGTCACAAAGTGTGACTTTGTAAATGGTCCAGGTCGGGCCCAAACATCGTCATAAGCTTCTCTCTCTCCTATGTGCTTGTTATTTGTGTATTGTTCCAGTCCTTTAATGTAAAGGCTGCACATATCTTTCATTAATCTTTGACACGCGCAAGGAACGCCCTGTACAAAGTGGAAGGTACTGTATATAACCAAAAATTATACTGCGTCTTCCATGTTATTACTTTTTCAGATTCTTCCATATTCAGAATTGTAAACATCAACGTTATATATAAAATTATAAATTCTATCAAACCTCTTAGAGAATGTTGATGGTCGAATCGATACGTCCTTGGCACATTATGTGTTAAAATTTATGTACGACAGACTTAAAAAGGCAAGACTTAGATTAAAACACAATATATCACTAGATCTGGTCAATACTAAGATTTTAATTACTCGAATGACTGACTAAAACCTAGCTGGACACTTTTTACCAAGCTAAGGCGACCTAAAGAAGAATCATATTCACAGTCACTCTCTTCCTAGCTGTTTTTCTGTAAAGATATAGACGTCATGATCCAACGATAACCCACCAAACTGCATCTTCCCCACACCAGATTTTCAGCTTTTAAGACGAAGTTTAAACACAATATGGAAACTCAAAATATTTCTAAGATCGTATCTTCAGAAATAAAATACGATATTCCGTCTTTTGTTACTGTTACTCCTTAAATACACACACTGTTGTATATCTTTCTCATACACATTAGAAAAAAATTATAAAGAAATTGGAACCATTTACTCCTGTGCAGGGTTTAACCAAGAGCCAACTGGCGGCCCAGATGAGAACTGTCTGGCCTTGGACGAGGAGAGAAAGTACTTCTTCAACGACGCCTCTTGTAACCTCACCTACCATCCCATATGTATGAAGTAAATGGTATTGGTTGTGACACACTCTTTATACAGATTTAACATTCTTTATTATGACGTAACGTTTATGATACAACTATCTTGATGTAACAACTATCTTGATGTAACAACTATCTTGATGTAACAACTATCTCGATGTAACAACTATCTTGATGTAACAACTATCTTGATGTAACAACTATCTTGATGTAACAACTATCTTGATGTAACAACTATCTTGATGTAACAACTATCTTGATGTAACAACTATCTTGATGTAACAACTATCTTGATGTAACAACTATCTTGATGTAACAACTATCTTGATGTAACAACTATCTTGATGAAACAACTATCTCGATGTAACAACTATCTTGATGAAACAACTATCTTGATGTAACAACTATCTTGATGCAACAACTATCTTGATGTAACAACTATCTTGATGTAACAACTATCTTGATGCAACAACTATCTTGATGTAACAACTATCTTGAAGTAACAACTATCTTGATGCAACAACTATCTTGATGTAAGAACTATCTTGATGCAACAACTATCTTGATGTAACAACTATCTTGATGCAACAACTATCTTGATGTACAACCATCTTGATGTAACAACCATCTTGATGTAACAACTATCTTGATGTAACAACTATCTTGATGTAAACTATCTTGATGAAACAACCATCTTGATGTAACAACTATCTTGATGTAACAACTATCTTGATGTAACAACTATCTTGATGCAACAACTATCTTGATGTACAACCATCTTGATGTAACAACTATCTTGATGTAACAACTATCTTGATGCAAACAACTATCTTGAAGTAAAAACCCATCTTGATGCAACAACTATCTTGATGTAAGAACTAAACTTGATGCAACAATCTTGATGTAACAACTATCTTGATGCAACAACTATCTTGATGTAACAACTATCTTGATGTAACAACTATCTTGATGTAACAACTATCTTGATGTAACAACTATCTTGATGTAACATACACATCTTGATGAACAACTATCTTGATGCAGCAACTATCTTGATGTAACAACTATATCTTGATGTACAACCATCTTGATGCAACAACTATCTAGATGTAAACTATCTTGATGCAACAATATCTTGATGTACAACCATCTTGATGTAACAACCATCTTGATGTAACAACTATCTTGATGTAACAACTATCTTGATGTAACTATCTTGATGTACAACATCTTGATGTAACAACTATCTTGATGTAACAACTATCTTGATGTAACAACTATCTTGATGAACAACTATCTTTGAATTGTAACAACCATCTTGATGTAACAACTATCTTGATGTAACAACTATCTTGATGCAACAACTATCTAGATGTAAAAACCAATTCTTGATGTACAACCATCTTGATGTAACAACCATCTTGATGTAACAACTATCTTGATGTAACAACTATCTTTATGTAAACTATCTTGATGTAAAAACCATCTTGATGCAACAACTATCTTGATGTAACAACTATCTTGATGTAACAACTATCTTGATGCAACAACTATCTTGATGTACAACCATCTTGATGTAACAACTATCTTGATGTAACAACTATCTTGATGCAACAACTATCTTGATGTACAACCATCTTGATGTAACAACCATCTTGATGCAACAACTATCTTGATGTAAAAACCCATCTTGATGTAACAACTATCTTGATGCAACAACTATCTTGATGTAACAACCATCTTGATGCAACAACTATCTTGATGCAACAACTATCTTGATGTACAACCATCTTGATGAACAACTATCTTGATGAACAACTATCTTGATGTACAACATCTTGATGTAACAACTATCTTGATGCAACAACTATCTTGATGTACAACCATCTTGATGTAACAACTATCTTGATGCAACAACTATCTTGATGTACAACCATCTTGATGTAACAACTATCTTGATGCAACAACTATCTTGATGTACAACCATCTTGATGTAACAACTATCTTGATGCAACAACTATCTTTATGTACAACCATCTTGATGTAACAACTATCTTGATGCAACAACCATCTTGATGTACAACCATCTTGATGTAACAACTATCTTGATGCAACAACTATCTTCCTTGATGAACAACTATCTTGATGCAACAACTATCTTGATGTACAACCATCTTGATGTAACAACTATCTTGATGCAACAACTATCTTGATGTACAACCATCTTGATGTAACAACTATCTTAATGCAACAACTATCTTGATGTACAACCATCTTGATGTAACAACCATCTTGATGTAAAAACCATCTTGATGTAACAACTATCTTGATGCAACAACTATCTTGATGTAAAAACCATCTTGATGAACAACACATCTTGATGCAACAACTATCTTGATGTACAACCATCTTGATGTAACAACTATTTGATGCAACAACTATCTTGATGTACAACCCTCTTGATGTAACAACTATCTTAATGCAACAACTATCTTGATGTACAACCATCTTGATGTAACAACCATCTTGATGCAACAACCATCTTGATGTACAACCATCTTGATGCAACAACTATCTTGATGAACAACATCTTGATGTTAACAACATCTTGATGCAACAACTAATCTTGATGTAAAAACCATCTTGATGTAACAACATCTTGATGAACAACTATCTTGATTGTACAACTATCTTGATGAACACAACTATCTTGATGCAACAACTATCTTGATGTACAACCATCTTGATGTAACAACTATCTTGATGCAACAACTATCTTGATGTACAACCATCTTGATGTAACAACTATCTTGATGCCCAAAAACAGTAAATCTTGATGTAAAAACATCTTGATGTAACAACCATCTTGATGTACAACCATCTTGATGTAACAACTATCTTGATGTAACAACTATCTTGATGACACAACTATCTTGATGCAACAACTATCTTGATGTACAACCATCTTGATGTAACAACTATCTTGATGCAACAACTATCTTGATGTACAACCATCTTGATGTAACAACTATCTTGATGCAACAACTATCTTGATGTACAACCATCTTGATGTAACAACCATCTTGATGTACAACCATCTTGATGTAACAACTATCTTGATGTAACAACTATCTTGATGCAACAACTATCTTGATGAACAACTATCTTGATGTAAAAACTATCTTGATGTAACAATCTTGTAATGAATTACCATCTTGATGACAACCCTTTAAAAACTCGTATATCTTAAAACCTTTTGAAATTTATGTGACAAACAATTAAAACTTAATCTTCGATGTAACAACTATCCCCTGATGCAAGAACTCTTTCCCCGATGTAACAACCCATCCTGATGTGCAATAGAAATACCTCTTCCCTAAAGGTATTTTTAAAACCTTTTTTCGGAGTTAAATAACTCTTCCCCGAGTGTAACAACCCATCCCGAGTGCAAGAACTCTTCCCCGAGTGGTTGTAACAACCCTTCCCGGAGTGCAAGAACTCTTCCCCGAGATGTAACCCAACCCCGAGTGCAAGAACTCTTCCCCGAGGTGTAACAACCCTTCACCGAGTGCAAGAACTCTTCCCGAGATGTAAAAACCCCTACCCCGAGTACAAGAACTCTTCCCCGAGGTGTAACAACCCATCCCCGAGTGCAAGAACTCTTCCCCGAGGTGTAACAACCCTTCCCGGAGTGCAAGAACTCTTCCCCGAGATGTAACCCATCCCCGAGTGCAAGAACTCTTCCCCGAGGTGTAACAACCCTTCACCGAGTGCAAGAACTCTTCCCCGAGATGTAAACCCCAAACCTCCCAAACCCTCACGAGTGCAAGAACTCTTCCCCGAGGTGTAACAACCCATTTCCCCCAAATGCAAAAAACTCTTCCCCCAGGTGTAACAATCCCCTTTCCCCCAGTGCAAAACCTTTTCCATCTCCCCCGAGGTGTAACAACCCATCCCCGAGTGCAAGAACTCTTCCCCGAGGTGTAACAACCCATCCCCGAGTGCAAGAACTCTTCCCTGAGGTGTAACAACCCATCCCCGAGTGCAAGAACTCTTCCCCGAGGTGTAACAATCGATCCCCGAGTGCAAGAACTCTTCCCCGAGGTGTAACAACCCATCCCCGAGTGCAAGAACTCTTCCCCGAGGTGCAACAACCCATCCCCGAGTGCAAGAACTCTTCCCTGAGGTGTAACAACCCATCCTCGAGTGCAAGAACTCTTCCTCGAGGTGTAACACCCATCCCCGGTGCAAGAACTCTTCCCCGAGGCGTAACAACCGATCCCGGAGTGCAAGAACTTTTCCCCGAGGTGTAACAACCCATCCCCGAGTGCAAGAACTCTTCCCCGAGGTGTAACAACCCATCCCCGAGTGCAAGAGCTCTTCCCCGAGGTGTAACAACCCTTCTCCGAATGCAGGAACTCTTCCCTGAGGTGTAACAACCCTTCCCCGAGTGCAAGAACTCTTCCCCGAGGTGTAACAACCCATCTCCGAGTGCAAGAACTCTTCCCCGAGGTGTAACAACCCATCCCCGAGTGCAAGAACTCTTCCCCGAGGTGTAACAACCCATCCCCGAGTGCAAGAACTCTTCCCCGAGGTGTAACAACCCATCCCCGAGTGCAAGAACTCTTCCTCGAGGTGTAACAACCCTTCCCCGAGTGCAAGAACTCTTCCCCGAGGTGTAACAGCCCATCCCCGAGTGCAAGAACTCTTCCCCGAGGTGTAACAACCCATCCCCGAGTGCAAGAACTCTTCCCCGAGGTGTAACAACCCATCCCGAGTGCAAGGGAACTCTTCCTCGAGGTGTAACAACCCTTCCCCGAGTGCAAGAACTCTTCCCCGAGGTGCAACAACCCATCCCCGAGTGCAAGAACTCTTCCCCGAGGTGTAACAACCCATCCCCGAGTGCAAGAACTCTTCCTCGAGGTGTAACAGCCCATCCTCGAGTGCAAGAACTCTTCCCCGAGGTGTAACTCCCCAGGCCCCGAGTGCAAGAACTCTTCCCCGAGGTGTAACAACCGATCCCTGAGTGCAAGAACTCTTCCCCGAGGTGTAACAACCCATCCCCGAGTGCAAGAACTCTTCTCCGAGGTGTAACAACCCTCCCCCGAGTGCAAGAACTCTTCCCCGAGGTGTAACAACCATTCCCCGAGTGCAAGAACTCTTCTACAAGGTGTAACAACCCTTCCCCGAGTGTAACAACCCTTCCCCGAGGTGTGACAACCCTTCCCCGAGTGTAACGACCCCCTCCCAGAGTGTAACAACCCTTCCCCGAGGTGTAACAACCCTTCCCCTAGTGTACCAACCCTTCCCCGAGTTATAACAACCCTTCCCCGAATGTAAGAACTCTTCCCCAGGTGTAACAAGCGTTCCCCGAGTGTAACAACCCTTCCCCGAGTGTAACAACCCTTCCCCGAGATGTAATAAGCCTTCCCCGAGTGTAACAACCCTTCCCCGATGTGTAATAAGCCTTCCCCGAGTGTAACAACCCTTCCCCGAGGTGTAACAAGCTTTCCCCGAGTGTAACAACCCTTCCCCTAGAGTAACAAGCCTTCCCCTAGGTGTAATAAGCCTTCCCCGAGCGTAACAACCCTTCCCCGAGGTGTAACAACCCTCCCCCGAGGTGTAACAACCCTCCCAGAGGTGTAACAAGGCTTCCCCGAGGTGTAACAACCCTTCCCCGAGGTGTAACAACCCTCTCCCGAGGTGTAACAAGGCTTCCACGAGGTGTAACAACCCTCCCCCGAGATGTAACAAGGCTTCCCCGAGGTGTAACAACCCTCCCCCGAGGTGTAACAACCCTCCCCCGAGGTGTAACAAGGCTTCCACGAGGTGTAACAACCATTCCCCGAGGTGTAACAACCCTTCCCCGAGTGTAACAACCCTTCCCCGAGGTGTAACAACCCTTCCCCGAGGTGTAACAACCCTTCCCAGAGGTGTAACAACCGTTCCCCGAGTGTAATAACCCATCCCTGAGGGGTAACAACCCTTCCCCGAGTGCAAAAACCCTTCCCCGAGGTGTAACAACCCTTCCCCGAGGTGTAACAACCCTTCACCGAGGTGTAACAGCTCTTCCCCGAGTGTAACAACCCTTCCCCGAGGTGTAACAACCCTTCCCCGAGGTGTAAGAACCCTTCTTCGAGGTGTAACAACCCTTTCCCGAGTGTAACAACCCTTCCCCTAGTGTAACAACCCTTCCCCGAGGTGTAACAACCCATCCCCGAGTGCAAGAACTCTTCCCCGAGGTGTAACTCCCCAGGCCCCGAGTGCAAGAACTCTTCCCCGAGGTGTAACAACCGATCCCCGAGTGCAAGAACTTTTTCCCGAGGTGTAACTCCCCATGCCCCGAGTGCAAGAACTCTTCCCCGAGGTGTAACAACCTTTCCCCGAGTGCAAGAACTCTTCCCCGAGGTGTAACAACCCTTCCCCGAGTGCAAGAACTCTTCCCCGAGGTGTAACAACCATTCCTTGAGTGCAAGAACTCTTCCACAAGGTGTAACAACCCTTCCCCTAGTGTAACAACCCTTCCCTGAGGTGTAACAACCTTCCCCGAGTGTAACAACCTTCCCAGAGTGTAACAACCCTTCCCCGAGGTGTAACAACCCTTCCCCTAGTGTACCAACTCTTCCCCGAGGTATAACAACTTTTCTCCGAATGTAAGAACTCTTCCCCGAGGTGTAACAAGCGTTCCCCGAGTGTAACAACCCTTCCCTGAGTGTACAACTCTTCCCCGAGATGTAATAAGCCTTCCCCGAGTGTAACAAGCCTTCCCCTAGGTGTAATAAGCCTTCCCCGAGTGTAACAACCCTTCCCCGAGGTGTAACAACCCTCCCTCGAGGTGTAACAACCCTCCCCAAGGTGTAACAAAGCTTCCCCGAGGTGTAACAACCCTTCCCCGAGGTGTAACAACCCTCTCCCGAGGTGTAACAACCCTCCCCCGAGGTGTAGCAACCCTCCCCCGAGGTGTAACAAGGCTTCCACGAGGTGTAACAACCATTCCCCGAGGTGTAACAACCCTTCCCCGAGGTGTAACAACCCTTCCCCGAGGTGTAACAAGCTTTCCCCGAGTGTAACAACCCTTCCCCGAGGTGTAACAACCCTTCCCCGAGGTGTAAGAACCCTTCCCCGAGTGTAACAACCCATCCCCGAGGGGTAACAACCCTTCCCCGAGTGTAACAACCCTTCCCCGAGTGTAACAACCCTTCCCGGAGGTGTAACAACCCTTCCCCGAGTGTAACAACCCTTCCCCGAGGTGTAACAACCTTTCCCGGAGGTGTAACAACCCTTCCCCGAGTGTAAGAATCCTTCCCCGAGGTTTAACATCCCTTCCCCGAGGTGTAACAACCCTTTCCCGAGGTGTAACAACCCTTCCCCGAGGTGTAACAACCCTTCCCCGTGTGTAGCAACCCTCCCCCGAGGTGTAACATACGTCAACTCAAAGACAAGGTAAACAGGTGTAAACAGCACGAACTTCGTATAAACAAACTGGCGATAACTGAATTATATATAACCTTGTATTGTATAGGTAATTAATGTTGTTGATGAGTGGAAGAACTCGCGAGTAGTGTTACTGAAGCTAAAACTTTAAGTGGCTTCAAAAATTGGTTAGACAAGTACATGAGTGGATGTGTGAGAGTTGGACTTGCTTAGCATGAGCCAGTAGGCCTGCAGCAGTGCTACTTCTTAAGTGTGACTTAAACCTGCCTAGCATGGACCAGTAGGCCTGCTGTAATCATAGTACTGAAGCAATGTAGACAATACTAATATAAAAGGCAGTGTAAATATATAAAATGCTTTGTATCTCTAGCAATAAAAAAGGCAGTGTAAACAACGGTATAAAAGGCAGTGCAAACAATGGTAATACAAACGTAGTGTAAACAATGGCAATATAAAGGTAGTGTAAACAATGACAATAAAATGGCAGTATAAACATAGGTAATATACAAGGCAATGTAAACAATGACATTATAAAAGACTGTGTAAGCATTATAAAGGCAGTGTAAGCAAGGAAAATATAAACAGTGTAAACAATGGTAATATAAAAGGCAACATAAACAATAGTAATATAAAAAGGCAGTGTAAACAAAGACAGCAGAAAGGAAGTGTGATAAATTACACATGTGCAACACTTGGGTATCTCTGTTGTGGATGCGTTTTGCCACATAGAGGTTTCATAAGTCCAGTACAAAGAAGAATGCTTGAAGATCAGTAGGAGTTTGAGATAATCAGTCCCTCAGCCTGGAGTCGATGTAATAAGTCCTTCAATCCTGACAAGCATACAGCATATACGCGGAGAAAGGGCTTATATACTACAGACAGGTGTGTTGAAGCAGTCGTAGCCTGTGTTACCTTGGAAAAACTTCAAAAAAAAAAAGTGGTTATATATATGGCCATAATTTTTTTTTAAAGGGGTGGACCGGTAGGCCAGCGGAAGGCCTCCGTCAGATGACCAAAAGCTCCATCAGCGGGTTGTCATCTGAATAAGACCCGCGTCAGGAAACACTTGTCCCGTTTCCTGACGAACCTTAGCTAACCTAACCATGGAAAAAATCACAGGTGGAAGTAGGTCATGCCTACAGGTTAGGCAAGTGTATTATTATTATAATCAAAACTAAGCGCTAAACCCATAAGGGTCATACAGCTCTACTAGGCAGGCGTAGACTTCTCTGTATTAGTATCCCAAGATGCTGCCATGTCTGACAGGAATATAGATGAATGGCGAAACGTTTCCACAGTAAAGACACCCAAATGTGTACATGTGTCTTATTTATCAAGTTGTCGGCATGATTGTGGCTAACTTTGTACTTAACAAATTAAAATTGTAATTACACGTTCTAACCTTTACAAAGAAATAAACTTATTACTATTATTATTATTATTACAGTGGCAATAGAAAAGGCAGTGTAAACAAGGGTAATAGAAAAGGCAGTGTAAACAAGGGTAATAGAAAAGGCAGTGTAAACAAGGGTAATAGAAAAGGCAGTGTAAACAAGGGTAATAGAAAAGGCAGTGTAAACAATGGTAGTATAAAATGCAGTGTAAATAAAGGGTAATAGAAAAGGCAGTGTAAACAATGGTAATGTAAAAGGAAGTGTAAACAAATATAAAAGACAGAGTAAACAAGGATAATATAAAAGGCAGTGTAAACAATGACAATTTAAAATACTGTGTAAACAGGATAACATAAAAGGCAGTATCAATGAAGGTAATATAGGGGGTTAGTGTTTTATTTCACGTCATTTACGTTGAACATTCGTTCATTGACATTTGGTTTATCACCTAGATAATAAATTTTATCTTTAATATATATATATATATATATATATATATATATATATATATATATATATATATATATATATATATATATATATATATATATATATAATTAGTGGCTGAATGAAAGCAGGGCTGATGTGGGAGGTGTCTGGAGTCTAAGCGTTAAGAGAGTCAGCAGCATCACAGCAATAGAAGATGACGTTGTTGAGGGCTGTGTCGTCCATAGCGGACGCTGCCTCCACCTTCGTTTCTATACCACATATGACCCATCCTGAAGTAAAGTTTAGCTTAACGTCACACACCAGGTATGGTAGTATGTATCCCCATCTATATCACACATGGCCCGTCCTCAGTAACACACCAGGTGTGGTAGTATCTCCATTTATGATATTTCTAGCACTTACGTCATTTTTTCATATTTTACACTAAAATCATTAAAAATTTTAATTAATAATTTCCCTGAAGTTTTTGTTTGCAATAAATTGGATTAAAAAGATCCTTAAGTGACGTTCGATGCCTAGTATTTGACTGCAGCTTTTGGTCCAGTAACCCTAAAAAAAATATTAGTCCAAAGCTATAATCTGCTTACTTTAACTTGTGAAATTGACTGTACTGACAAACTTTTGAATAGGTGACGCTGACACACACACACACACACACACACACACACACACACACACACACACACACACACACACACACACACAGCGATCAGTGAAGAGGCGGGGCCAGGAGCTCGGACTCGACCCCCGCAACCTCAACTAGGTGAGTACACACCAAAAAAAAAAAAAAATGGTGGGGACTCGAAGGAACCAGGGAACAGATGAGAATGGTTCTGGTAGGGAGGAGTGGATGGAGGAGCAGTGGAAAAGGATGGAACAAGAGTGGGAGAGAAAATTAAGAGACCTTTCTGCAAAAATGGAGACAGAGCTTTCTGAGAAATTGGAGAAGGAGGAGAAGAAGAATTGGGAGGCACAAAGCAAAACTGCAGTAGCCAGGATAAGGGTCCTAGAAGATGAGGTAAACAGGCTGAAGTGAGTTACAGGGGTATTGACCAGAGAAGACACAGCATATGAAGCTGTGAGGCCGATCAGGAAGGAAGGAGATATGAATTATGTTAAGGTCATATCAGACTGCCAAGCAGGGCCAAGGAGTGAAAGGGGAGAGCAGCTGGGTGCAGATGGAGAGGGTGATAGGTCAAATGCAGAGGCACAACCATGCTACCAAGAGCTACTGGAAAAAAAAACAAGGGAGAAAATGGCCATGTACAGACAGGAACCAGAGTCACAGTGGGAAAGGCAATGGGAGGAGGAAAGGGAAAAATCAGTGTTTATTCATGTGCTTCAGGAGAGCGAAGGAAGGACACACACTGAAAGATGGCAGGCAGAAAGAAAGGAGATTCAGAACATCATCACAGAAATAGGTGAAGAAGACATGGACGAGATTGTAAATTTTCAGAGAATAGGCGGGTACTTGAAGGAGAGAAAATGACCGATCAAGCTGATTTTCAGGACAGAAGCAGTGCGGAACAGGATCCTCCAAGAGAAACCACAGTTGAAGTACTCGCCAGAGTACAAGAGGGTGTTCCTAGACAGAGACAGAACACAAACAGAACGACAGCAGCTGAGGGAGAGGACAAAAAAAGCAAAAGGAGCTAGGAAGGGAGACAAGGACAGAACCAGCAGAGGTCAATCAGAGCAGGGCAGAGCAACAAGGGCAAGCACACACAGAACCATCCCCAGAACCTCACAACCTATCACACCATCCCAACACAAACTACAATCCATACTCACAGCTCCCACCCCACACTCAGTTATAGAATCCCACAGTGCACTTCTAGGTTCCCCACCCTCACAGGCCCCCAAACCACAGTTTTGGAGAGGAAACTGAAGGTATGGTACACAAACGCGGATGGAATAACAAGTAAGTGGGGGGAGTGGCACGAAAGAGTCAAAGAGGCATTACTGGACATCATAGCTCTCACAGAAACCAAGCTTACAGGTATGATAATGGATGCCATCTTTCCAACAGGATACCAGATCCTGAGGAAAGACAGAAGGAACAGGAGGGGTGGAGGAGTGGCACTGCTGATCAAAAATCAATGAAATTTTGATGAGCTGGAGAGAGGAGACAGTGGAGAAGCAAGTGATTACATAGCGGGAACGCTCCAGTCTGGAGGTCCCAAGGTGGTAATTGAAGTGATGTATAACCCACCACAGAACAGCAGGAGGCCAAGGCAAGAGTATGATGAGAGCAACAGAGCGATGGTTGACACATTGGCTGCATTGGCCAGAAGGGCTCATGCGTGCAGGGCAAAGCTACTGATCATGGGTGACTTTAACCACAAGGAAATAGATTGGGAGAATTTGGAGTCACATGGGGGCCAAGATACACGGAGGGCTAAGATGATGGAGGTGGTACTGGAAAACTTCATGTACCAACAGGTAAGGGACACTACAAGAGAGAGAGATTAGAGGATGAACCAGGAAGACTGGATCTAGTATTCACCTTTAGTAGTGCAGATATTGAGGACATCACATATGAAAGACCCCTTGGGGCCAGCGATCATGTAGTTTTAAGCTTTGAATACACAGTAGAGCTACAAGTGGAGGGAAAAGCAGGAAGGCCCAGGCAAATGAAGCCAAACTACAAGAAAGGGGACTACACGGGAATGAGGAACTTCCTGAACGGGGTTCAGTGGGACAGAGAACTGGCAGGGAAGCCAGTAAATGAGATGATGGAATATGTAACAACAATATGCAAGGAAGCTGAGGATAGTTTTGTGCCCAAGGGTAACAGGAATAATGAAAAGGCCAGGATGAGCCAATGGTTCACCCAAAGGTGCAGGGAGGCAAAAACCAAGTGTGCTAGGGAATGGAAGAAGTATAGAAGGCAAAGGACCCAGGAAAATAAGGAGAGCAATCGTAGAGCCAGAAATGAAAATGCACAAATAAGAAGGGAGGCCCAACGACAATATGAAAACGACATAGGAGCGATAGCCAAATCTGACCCAAAGCTGTTCTACAGCCACATCAGGAGGAAAACAACAGTCAAGGACCAGGTAATCAGGCTAAGGAAGGAAGGAGGGAGGAAAAACAACAAGAAAAGACTGTGAAGTGTGTGAGGAACTCAACATGAGATTCAAAAAAGTATTCACAGAGGAGATAGAAGGGGCTCCATAAAGATGGAGAGGTGGGGTACACCACCAGGTGCTGGACACAGTACACAACCGAGGAAGAAGTGAAGTGGCTTCTGAATGAGCTAGATACCTCAAAGGCAATGGGGCCGGAAAACATCTCTCCATGGGTCCTGAGAGAGGGAGCAGAGGAGCTATGTGAACCCTTAACAACAATATTCAACACATCTATCGAAACAGGGAGATTGCCTGAGGCATGGAAGACAGCAAATGTAATCCCAATTTTTAAAAAAGGAGACAGACATGAAGCACTAAACTACAGACCAGTGCCACTGACATGTATAGTATGCAAAGTCATGGAGAAAATTATCAGGAGAAGAGTGGCGGAACACCTAGAAAGGAATAATCTCATCAACAGCAGCCAACATGGTTTCAGGGACGGGAAATCCTGTGTCACAAACCTACTGGAGTTCTATGACAGGGTGACAGCAGTAAGACAAGAGAGAGAGGGGTGGGTAGATTGCATTCTCTTGGACTGTAAGAAGGCGTTTGACACAGTTCCACACAAGAGATTAGTGCAAAAACTGGAGGACCAGGCAGGGATAACAGGGAAGGCACTACAATGGATCAGCGAATACTTGTCAGGAAGACAGCAGCGAGTCATGGTACGTGGCGAGGTGTCAGAGTGGGCGCCTGTGACCAGCGGGGTCCCACAGGGGTCAGTCCTAGGACCAGTGCTGTTTCTGGTATTTGTGAACGACATGACGGAAGGAATAGACTCCGAAGTGTCGCTGTTTGCAGATGACGTGAAGTTGATGAGAAGAATTCATTCGGTCAAAGACCAGGCAGAACTACAAAGGGATCTGGACAGGTTGCAGACCTGGTCCACCAATTGGCTCCTGGAATTCAACCCCACCAAGTGCAAAGTCATGAAGATTGGGGAAGGGCAAAGAAGACCGCAGACGGAGTACAGTCTAGAGGGCCAGAGACTACAAACTTCATTCAAGGAAAAAGATCTCTGGGTGAGTATAACACCAGGCACATCTCCTGAGGCACACATCAACCAAATAACTGCTGCAGCATATGGGCGCCTAGGAAACCTCAGAACAGCATTCCGACATCTTAATAAGGAATCGTTCAAGACCCTGTACACCGTGTACTTTAGGCCCATATTGGAGTATGCGGCACCAGTCTGGAACCCACACCTAGCCAAGCACGTAAAGAAACTAGAAAGGTTTGTAACAAGATTAGTCCCAGAGCTAAGGGGTATGTCCTACGAGGAGAGGTTAAGGGAAATCGACCTGACGACACTGGAGGACAGGAGAGATAGGGGGGACATGATAACGACTTACAAAATACCGAGAGGAATTGACAAGGTGGACAAAGACAGGATGTTCCAGAGACGGGACACAACAACAAGGGGACACAGTTGGAAGTTGAAGACACAGATGAATCACAGGGATGTTAGGAAGTATTTCTTCAGCCACAGAGTAGTCAGGAAGTGGAATAGTTTGGGAAGCGATGTAGTGGAGGCAGGATCCATACATAGCTTTAAGCAGAGGTATGATAAAGCTCACGGTTCAGGGAGAGTGACCTAGTAGCGACCAGTGAAGAGGCGGGGCCAGGAGCTGGGAATCGACCCCTGCAACCTCAACTAGGTGAGTACAACTAGGTAAGTACAACTAGTGAGTACACACAAAAGTACTTATTTGTATATTTGTAAAGCGTGATCGAATAATGAGGGATAAATTCTAAAAGACTGATAATATAATAGATGGTTAAGACGCAGAAACATGTGGAAAATAAAAGACACCAGAGTGCTTGTGATGACGACCCGTAGAGGCGACAACACTGTATTGAAACAGATGGCACTGAAATAACTAAAAGCGGTTAAAAAGTATTCTTGGACACTGACACAAAACAGTGGGACCAGGAAAATTATCACCATGGGTTTAAAGAGGTAATCAAAATTGAAAATATTATATTGACATCGCGTATCAACGCATGACAAACACGAAAATTCTGTACTAACAATTAATGCATCAAGCATCAAGACAGATGTGCAATGACACTAAAGTGATCACTAAACAGAAGATACAACGAGGAGAAGATACATAGATGCCGCAGTCACTGGAAAAAGTAACACCATAGAGCAGAACCAGGGCACATACACATCTACATGTGTACGCGTCTCACGAGTAAGCCTGGTGACATTTCTCGTCACCCCTTTCTTCATCACCCACCACACCTGGCCCGGGACCCTGACCTGGTAACCTCCTGTACCTACCTCCACACCACCACACGATAAGTCACACTGTATGAAAAGAGAGAGCCGCCTTCTGCTGTTTGTATCAGTGTACTGATAAGACACTGGTGGTGCTTTACACTGGTGACTGGAACTCTACACGGTGGAGCTCTACACTGGTGGAACTCTACATGGGAGCTCTACACGGGAGCTCTACACTGATGACTGGTGCTCTACGCTGGTGGAACTCTACACGGGAGCTCTACACTGGTGGAACTCTACACGGGAGCTCTACACTGGTGGAACTCTACACGGGAGCTTTACATTGCTTGTTGCTCTCATTTCAGAAGACTGAGGTAAGAAATGAAAGGAAACCTCCACTGGAGCTCTACACTGGTGACCTGCAAAGTTCCACACTGGTGACCTACAAAGCTCTACACTGGTGACCTGCAGCGTTCTACACTGGCGACCTCCAGAGCTCTTCACTGATATTTACTGCAGATCTCTAAACAGGTGACATGGAAAGCTCTACACTGGTGACCTGCAGAGCTCTAAAGAGGGATTGTGTGACTGACCCTGAGGAGGGATTGGTATGACTGACCCTGAGGAGGGACTATTATGACTGACCCTGAGGACAGGTGGCATAGCTGCTCCAGGTTCCCCAGTGGTTGCCGCCACCGTTGATGGTAAAGTCTGACCAGTTACACTGCATCTCCAGGTCGTTGGCGGCCGTGTCGTCCAGGATGCCCTGCTCTGCCTCGCTCTTCATCATCACTCCCGTAAGGAAACCCTCAGGACACTCTCTCTTACCTTACAACAGTACAACAGAGGAAAAAAACACACAATTTCAGTATATCAAAATCTTAAAATCCAAACACCGAAGATCACAAGGACAATGGCATTGTTACGTTGTCCTGGACTGAACCTGCGTACACTCGCCAGTGTCACTCGCCAGTGTATGACTGACAGCTGTCAGCGTTGCAACCTATAAACTCTGTAGTGTACTATATGAAAATCAGACACATGTGCAACATCTGGGTATCTTTAATGTAGACGTTTCGCCATCCAGTGGCTTTATCAATACAAATTCTAGGACATATTTTGAAGACAATAGAATTATTATACAAAAGATGAGGTAATCAGTCCCTCAACCTTGGAGTTGGTGTGAATAGCATAGTACAGCGTACTATGTATAACCATATGTGAGTGGAGTGAAGTGGAGAAGAATCCTTCCTCCGTTAGCCATTCCTGTCGTAGAAGGCGACTAAAATGCTGGGAATAAAGGCTAGTAAATCTTTCTACAGATTCGTCGCTCAACCTTTGGGACGAGCGGACGTGAGCTGAGCCTGCCCTCTGCTGTCAGCCGGTGACAACTTTGTTTTCTCAAAATGGCGCAGCCGGCAAGAAGAAGGGTAAACACTGTCGGCATTGAAGTGGTGCGTGGGGCTGTGCATGCCCACTCAGCTCAAGTTTTATTACCTGCCATCATCAGGGACACATACGGCATTGCCAACGAGAGCTGTATGGTGTAGCCTAAGGGGGAAAAGGGGCCCCCCTTTTCCCCCCGGGGGTTTTTTGGGTTTTTTCCCCCTTTCCCTTGGCCCCCCCCCCCCCCCGGGGGAAAAAAAAAAAATTTTTCCCCCAAAACAAAAAAAAAAAAACCCCTTTTTCCCCCAAAAAAAAAAAACCCCCCCAAAAAAAAAGGGGGCCCCAAAAACCCCCTTTTTAATTTAAAATTCAAAAACCGGGGTTTTAATTTTGGTTAAACCCCCCTTTTTCAATAAAAAAGGCCCCTTTTTTTAAAAAAAAGGGTTTTTAAAATTAAAAAAATTTCCCCCCCCCTTTTTTTTTTTAAAAAAAAAAAATTTTTTTTTTTAAAAAAAGGAGGGGAATAATTTAAAATTTTTTTTGGGTTTTTTTAAAGCCTTTTAAAAAAGGGGGGTTAAAATTCTTTTTTCCCCGTTCCCCGGGGGGAAGGGGGGGAAAAGGGGTTTTTTTTTTTTCCCAAAAGGGGCCCCAAAAAAAACCCCCCCTTTTTTTTGGGGGGGGGTTTTGTTTTTCCCCCCGGGGCCCCAAAAAAGGGGGGTTTGGGTTTGGGGGTTTGGGGGGGGGGGGAAACCCCCCCAAAAAAATTTTGGGAAATTTTTTTGGGGGGGGTTTTTTTAAAAGGGTTTTTTTTTTTTAAAAAAGGATAGGGCCCCCCTTTGGGGGGGAAAAAAACCCCCCCCCCAAAAGGGGGGGGAACCTACTGGGCCCCCAAATTTTTTTTTGGGGGGAAAAAAAAATTTGGGGGGGAAAAAAAATTTTTTTTTGGGGGTTTTTAAAAATTTTAACCCAAAAAAAATTTTTTTTAAAGGGGGTTTTTTCCCAAAAAACTTCCCCCCTTTTTTTTCCCCCCTATTTTCCTTTCCCCGGGTTTGGGAAAGGGGGGGGGGGGGAAAAAAAAGGGGTTTTTGGGGAAAATTTTTCCCCCCCAAAAAAGGGGGGCCGGGGAAAACCCAAAAAAAAGGGGGGTTGGGATTTGGGGGCCGAAAAATTTTTTTTTGGGGGAAAAACCCCCGGGGGGCCCCGGGGAAAACCAAAGGGGGGGGGAAGGGGGGCCCCCCCGGGGGAAAAAGGGGGCCCCCCCGGGGGGGAAGGGGTGGGGGGGGCCCCCCAAAATTTGGGGGGGTTTGGGGCCGGGGGGCCGGGGGGGGGGAAAAGGGGGGGGGTTTGGGGGGGGAAAATTTGGGGGTTGGGGGGGCCGGGGGCCTTGGGGGGGGGGGGGGGGGGGGGGAAACCCCCCAAAAAAAAAGGGGGGGTTCCCGGGGGTGGGGGGAAAATTTTTTCCCGGGGTTTGGGGGAAAAGGGGGGGGGGGGGCCCCGGGCCCCCGGGGGTTTGGGGGGGAAAAGGGGTTAAAAGGGGAAAGGGGAAAAAGGGGGGAAAAAAAAAAAATTGGGGAAAAAAAAGGTTTTTTTTAAAAAAAAAAATTTTAAAGGGTTTTTTTTTGGGGGGGGAAAAAATTTTGGGAATTTAATTTTTAAGGGGCCCCAAAGGGGTTTTTTTTTTTTTGGGGAAAAAAAACCCCCCCCCGGGGGTTTTTGGGGGGTTTTTTTTGGGGAACCTCCCTTTTTTGGGGGGGGGGGGGGTTTTTTTTAAAAAGGGGGGGGGTTTTTGGGGGTTTTTTTTAAAAGGGGCGGGGGGGGGGGAAAAATTTTTTTTTTTTTTTTTGGGGTTTTCCCCCCCAAAAAAGGGGGGGGCGGAATTGGGGTACCCAAAAAGGGGGCCCCCGGGGGGGTTTTTTTTTCCCCCGGGGGGGTGGGGGGGGAGGGGGGGGGGGGGGGGGCCCCCTTTTTCCGGGGGTTTTTGGGGGGGTGGGGGAAAAGGGGGGCGGGGGGGGGGGGAAGGGGGGGGGGGGGGGTTTTTTTTCTGAAAGGGGGGTGGGGGGGAAGGGGGGGGGGGGGGGTTTTTTTTTGGGGGGGGTTTTTGGGGGGTTTTGGGGGGGGGGGCCGGGGGAAAAAAATTTGGGGGGGTTTTGGGGGGGGGGGGGGTTTTGGAAAGGGGGAAAAGGGGAAGGGGAAGTAAAGGGGTTTTTGGGGGGGGGGGCCCTTTGGGGGGGGGGGGGGGGTTTTAAAGGGAATTTTAAAAAAGGGGGTTTTGGGCTTTTTGGGTTTTGGGGGGGGGAAAAAAAAGGGAAGGGGGGGGGGGGGGGGGGGGGGTTTTTTAAAAGGGGGGGGGGGGTTTTTTTTTAAAAGGGGGGGGGGGTTTTTTTTGGGGGGGGGTTGGGGGGTGGGGAAGGGGGGGGGGGGGGGGGGGGGTTTTAAGGGGTTTGGGGGTTTGGGTTTTGGGGGGCCGGGGGGGGGGGGAAAAAGGGCTTGGGGGGGGGTTGGGGGGAAATTAATTTTGGGGGGGGAAAGGGGGGTTTTTTTTTTGGGGGGGTTTTAAAAAAAGGGGGGGGGGGGGGAAAAAGGGGGGGGGGGGGGGGAAACGGGGAAAAAAAAGGGGGGGGGGGGAAGGGGGGGGGGAAAAAAAAAGGGGGGAAAGGGGGGGCCCGGGTTTTTTCCCGGGTTTTAAAAAAGGGGTTTTTTTGGGTTTTTTTTTTTAAAAAAAAGGGGGGGTTTTGGGGCCTTTGGGGGGAAAAAGGGGGTTTTTTTGGGGGGGGGAAAAGGGAAAAAAATTTTTTAAAGGTCCCGACTACAAATTTTTTAAAAATTTTGGGAAAAAAAAAAAAAAAAAAAAAGGGTTTTGGGGGGGGGAAAAATTTTGGGTTTTGGGGGAAAGGGGGTTTTGGGGGGGGGGGGGGGTTTTTTTTTAGGGGGGGGGGGGGGGGGGGGGGAAAAAACCAAAAAAGGGGGGGGGGGGGAAAAAAATTTTGGGGGGGGGGGGGGTTTTTTTGGGGGGCCCTTTTTGGGGGGGGGTTGTTTTAAAAAAAGGGAGGGTGGGGTTGCATGTGAAAATGGGGGAGGGGAAATTTAGGCAAAGGGTTTCCCGTTTTTCACAAATAAAATTTGCATGTTTACAGAATCCGGTTTTTTAAAGGGGAGTGGGAAAAGTGCATACCCGGGGGGGTTTTTGGGAGGACATACAGGTGGGGTCCCAGTAAACATAGGGCGTTGATGAACAACTGTCCTAGTGAGTGGGAGGGGGGGATTGGAGGGGCTGGAGAAGTTTTAGTGTTTTTGGGAGGCAACAGTATGGGGTGAAAAGTGCATAAATTTAAAGCTCATGATATTGGGGGAAATGGGAAAGCGCAGGAGGGCGGGGGGGGGGGGGGTGAGGTGGAGTGGGCGTGGCCGGGTGGAAAAATTTTGGGGGTTGTGTATATGGGTTTTTGGGTAATGGCGAGGGGGAATTTAATTTTAAAGGGGGGTGGTAGATAGGGTATTGGGAAGATTGTTCCCGGATGGGGGCCCACACTTTTTAGCTACACCAAGGGTCATTGTGGGGCAATGTCCCTTTTTTAAAAGGGAAAAAATGGCATTTTGGCAGCTTTTTACCCTTTTGGGGTTTTGGGGGGGGTCCCGGAAAATTGTTTTAAGGGAGAGTTTTCCGTTTTTATTGGGGGTTTAGGGTGCATTGGGTTTAAAAAGAGGTGGGAACACTTCCGGGGGCCTTTGGGGGGGCTGGGGTTTTAAATTTATTGGGGGGAAAAAAGGGAAGTGTGTATATGTGAAACATGGGTTGCTAAGGGGTCGGGGGGAAGGGGGTGGGGGGTTTGGGGGTGCTGCAGGGGGATCCCCGGAGATGGTGGAAGGGGCAAGATTTTAGAGGGTGGTGAGGAGTTGGGGGCGTCTATTTTATGAAAGGTCAAAAGAGCCGGGGGAAAAATGGGGTAGGGTCCATGGGGAGGGAAAAATGGCCCCGGGGGGGGTAGTGGCAACGGAAGGGGTGTACCCCATGGACGCTGGAAGACATTTGGGGCCGAAATTTAAAAAATTACCTTTCCCGGGCCCCGCGTTTAGGGGGGTAATGGAAAAGGGTTTTTTTCACGGAATATTGCCCTCTGGGGTTGTTTTTCGAAATAGGGGAATAAGGGGGGGTGGGATGTTCAGGTTTGGGGGTAGATTTAATCACTTTTCATGTAGGTTTTTTTTTGTGAAAGCCTAGGGGTTTTGCGGGGAAAGTTTTGGGAAAGTAATCCGGGATGTGGGGGGGAAAAGGGTTTGTCGGTTTTTTAGACTCTTTGTTTTAAGGGGTGTAGGTGGGGGTTGGGGGAAGGTTCAAAAGGGCTGTGGCCCTTTCTTAATGGTTTTTATTTTGTGTATATATCATGGGGAATGAGAGACAAAGGGGGGGAGGAACGTAGGATGGCCATAGCAGCATCCTTTTATAGAACAAAGTGTCGCAACAGGGAAATATATGGTAGAAGGTGGGAGAGGGATTTCTCGGAGGGCTACAGGGACTTTCTTTTGAGGGATTTATGGTCTTTATAAGCGGTCAGGGGAATGAACGGGCTGGCCTTCCCAGGGGGGGGGGGGGTTGCAGAGGTCGATTGTGTGAGTGTGTGTGTGGAATTGTGTGAGTGTGTGTGGAATTGTGTGAGGAAGGATGTTGAGGTGATATTCAATGTGGTATTCAATGTAATGTCTTGGTGTTATTGTGAACACCGATGATTATAATTTATCTAAGGATTCCTTCATGTTTTGTAAGGATGTACATAAGCATGTTAGTATATAAGCATAATTTAACCTGTAATTATACATGACTACCTGTATATGAGCAATGTAACTTGTCATAATAATGAGTTTTCATACCTGTTTTTTAACTATTGGAACGTTTTGGTATTGTATATAATGTAAGATCTTGCCTGGGGTGTTTTTGCTTATATATTGTTACAGATGTTTTTTTCACATTTTCATTATATATGTTCAAGTGAATGAGTTTTTGATCTTGTGTATAGCCAGGTGAAACTGGTCAGTTTTTCATTTGGGGGGGGCGGGGTAGGAGTGTAAGTAATCTCTGCAATAGCAGGTCATGTGATACACATGTCATATTATTTTAGATGTCTAATGTTGTCCATTCTCTGTAGGATGTGATGTATAGATTATCTCCGACAGTGTAAATAATCTGTCTGCTGGAGGGAATAATGTGTAAATTTATTTATTATTGTGGTAGGTTTATGTGTGTAGCGTGTTTTTAGGGTGATATATTATAAGACGCTAATTACTATCAAGGACTGTTGGTGGTTATGAGGGGTGATGGCAGACACAGTTACTAGGCATGGGGGGGGGGGGGGGTTGAAGTGTGCACGATATTAATTATTACCATAGGGTATATGAGGGTAGGGTGGATTGTGTTCTATGGTGGATGTGAGCCATCAGGTTCAGACATTCCTTGTATTATAGTGTCAGCCGTTTAGCTGGCTGGATTGTGTTTATATATATATTGTCATTGAAGTTTTTAATGCTTTTACAAATGTGTATGTATAAGAGATTTGTCACTGTGTATCTAAGGTGAAAGTGGCACGTTTTCATGGGGGGGGGGGGAGTGTAAGCTTTACTGGGTGGGTTGTATATGTATGTGTATGTGTATATGTATGTATATGTGTATATGTATATGTGTATATGTATATATGTATATGTAGTATATGTGTATTACGTATGTATATATATATATGTATATATGTATATATGTGTGTGTATATGTATATATATATATATATATATATATATGTATATGTATGTATGACCACCTTTTCGTGTGAAGCACAGTACGTACAAGCGGTGTTCATGTGAAGCACAGTACGTACAAGCGGTGTTTGATTTGAGTGCAGCAGCCAGTTCTGTCATTATATATGTGCTTCTTCAGTACTGTGTAGTCACAGTTGATTATTGTTCACTGCCTCTATCTTGTTACATATTGATTATGTACCCATATATTTTGTACCTGAGTTTGAAATAAAATATAAAAAAAAAAATCTTTCTATTGTATTAATTTGTAAATTTAAAAAGTAATTTACATTGAAAAATGACTAGTCTGAATGTGCGTGGATGTAGTATACATAAGAAAAAGTTGTCTGTGAATGTTATGAATGAAAAGTTGGATATCTAAGCCTAAATTGGAAAAAGCTGAAAGAGGTAGATTTTTAGTGAGGGGAAAATAAATGAGACTAGGTCAGGTGTATCTGAGAGAATTAGAGCTAAGGATGGAGTCGCATTAATGTTGAATGATCAGTTATGGAAGGGAATGAGCGAATATAAATGTATAAATTCAAGGATTGTGGATTACAATAAGGGTAGAATGCGCAAAGTGGGTTATATTAAGTGTTTATGCACTTGGGGAAAGAGAGGAGTGTAGAGAAGAGAGGGAAATTTGGGAAGATGTTAAGTGAGTGTTTAGAGAGTTATGAACCAACTGTGGTGAACGAGGAGGTTTACGAGGTTCTGATCTGAGGATTGGTGAGAATGGGAAGGAAGAGGGAGGGGAGGGGTGGAAAAATGGAAGAGGTTTGGGAGGGTGGAGCAGGAGGTGGGGAAGTATAGGTGAGTGGCCCGACCACTCTGGAGCGTGATGTGCAGAGGTACGGCAGGGGGTTGTGCTGGAGCGAGATGTGCTGGAGGCAGCAGAGTCTGTAGAGTAGGGCTGGTTCTCAGATGTCTGGCAGATGGCTGGAAGGGCAGTGGTGTCTAGGAAAACAGGGTCGTTTTGGAACCACTCCCCAGCTTTAGCTGAAGAGCAAAGCGCTGGGGGACTTTGGTTGCTGGTAGGTGATGATTAGACTGCAGCTGTCGGAGCCATTTCTGACTGTGTTGAATTTTGCTCTTGAGAGGTGTAGTACCTTCATTTTGGAGTTGATGTGAATTTTATCGTTGAGGATGTCGAGTATGGATTGTAGAGTTGGAGGTGAAATTCCGTGAACGGTGTACTTTGCAGAGTTGTCTCGGAGTCGTAGGCTGAGTTCTGGGAAGGGCATAGCTCTACTGTATGGTTTCGTGGTGTAGAACGTGGCATAGTCGTGTTTGAGGGTCTCTACTGATGCTAGTGGGGGTTGAGCTGGGCGAGTCGGGGTTACTGATAGGTCAGTAGTAGTAGGGGTGGCAGGTGGTGGTGGGTTCACGTTGGTGGGTTCTTTTGATGTCTCAGAGGTCTCGGGTTGGTTCTCGTTGGTGAGTTCTTCTGAGGTCTCAGAGGTCTCTGGTTGGGCCAACTCAGTGTCTGGTGGAGGTTGAGATAACGGTGGAGCAACGACAATGTTGGTGACATTTGCAGTGGATCCGAGAATCTCAGTGGAAGATGGTGATGCGGGGATTGTGAAACCCGGCATGTTGTTGAACTGTGGTGAACCTAAATGCCGAAGTGAAAGAAAGTGTTGTATATGGCACAGTAGGCAAGTCTGGGGTGCCAGACGCAAATGATAATGGTGGAATATAATTGAATTTTGTATAGAAAGAGATTTGGTGATAAGTAATACATATTTAATAAAACAAGTACACGAAATATGATATAGAGCTTCATGATAAGTTTGTTAAACTATGTATTAGTAGATAAAAGGTTAAATTGGTAAAGTTTTGGATATGCTTGTTTTTAAGAGGGGATAACAGATACATCAGATCATTGTTTAGTTGTAGCTACAGCGAGAGTAAGAGTTAGATGGGGTACAAGGAGAAAATCATCAGTAAGTAAGAAGTGAAAGTTTATAAATTGAAGGAGAAGGCAGTTAGGGTAAGATATAAGGAACTGTTGGGAGAAAGATGAACTAGAGTGAGTACAGATAATGAGAAGGTCGGAGAGGTATGGAGTAGATTTAACAAAACAGTTTTAGAGTGTGTGGCAAAAATTTGTGGAGATAGGAGAGTGGGTGCAGGAAGGAAGAAGAGCGACTGGTGGAAAAGCGAGGTAAAGAGAGTTGTAAAGGAGAACAAATTAGCATATGAGAGGTTTTTAAAAAGCAAAAGTGATTTAAGGAAGGTGGAACATTTGGAGAGTAAAAGATATTTTAAGAGGGTAATGAGAGAGAGTAAAAGGTGGTGAGCTGTCAACACTTTTGCTGTGAATATGAAAGTTTTGGAGTGAGAAAAGAAGAGTTCTTTCCTCGTGAAACGTAAGTAACCATTCTTACAGTATTCATTACCGTTGTAACTTGTGAGTTCATTACCTCTGTAACTTGTGAGTTCATTACCTTGTACCTAGTTCAGCCATCAAAACTTTGGAGCCCGGTCCCTGGACCCATTGTGTACCTCTGTAATCTGTAAATACCTTTGTAACTTGTCATGATTGTGACTAGACCTACCTGGAGTTCATTACCTTTGTAAATTGTGAGTTCATTACCTTTGTAAATTGTGAATTCATTACCTCTGTAACTTGCTCAGCTATCAAAACTTTGAGGCCCAGTCACTGGACCCATTATGTACCTCTGTAATCTTTTGACTACCGCCCACAGGATGGGTATGGGGTGCATCATAAACATATTAAACTAAACTAACTAACTTTCCACGTGTAACTCGTAGGTTACAGCTTGTAAAACAACATTACTAGAGATACACAGTCTGTAACTGTATTACGTTGTTAAAGTTTTTGCAGACAGATGCATACAGGGAAAAACTGTAACTCGGCATTTGAAGCTCATCTCAGTTACCACTGTATCCACTGACACTAACCCTGCCACTCTCCCACTTATTCTGTCATTCTCCCCACTTACTCTGTCATTCTCCCCACTTGCCCTGCCACTCTCTCCACTTGCCCTGCCTCTCTCCTCACTTCCCCTGCCACTCTCCCCACTTACCCTGTGGAAAGTAAGTGCCTTTCACTCTCCTCACTTACCTACCACTCTCCCCACTAACCCTGCAAATTTCCCCACTTACCCTGCCAATCTCCCCACTTACCCTGTCAATCTCCTCACTTGCCCTGCCACTCTCCCCACTTACCCTGCCACTCTCCCCACTTACCCTGCCACTCTCCCCTTACCCTGCCACTCTCCCTACTTACCCTACCACTCTCCCCACTTATCTGCCAATCTCTCCACTTATCTGCCACTCTCCCCACTTACCCTGCCACTCTCCCCACTTACCCTGCCACTCTCCCTACTTACCCTGCCAATCTCCCCACTCCTGGACGGTGGAGGTAACGGTGAACTCGAGAGTGCCCACCTTGGGCTTAACACCATCATGGCCGACGTCCTGTGGGGCTCGACAGTACAACATAATACCATTCATGGAGGTGTCGTCAATGGCACCTTCACTCTCCACCTGTGGAAGATAAACACAGCTGGTTGGTACAAGGTGGTGTTTTGTTCACCAAGATGCAACACCAGTGATGAGAGACATGGACAACGATCGGAAAAGCTGCACATTCGTCTAATTCACACATTGTGTGATAAAGGAAACAGGACAGTGTCCCTCAGACACTGTCCTGTCACCATCAAGTGTCATGACTGTCTGCTGACCTCGTGCTGAGTCTTAACACACAGCTTGTCTGACTACGTCTTGGACCGGTAAGCCAGCGGAAGGCCTCGGTCAGATGACCGAAAGCTCCAGCTGTGGGTCAGGAAACACTTGTTCTGTTTCATGAGTTCTTTCATGCATCTTACTGCTTTTTGGTAAAAAAAGATACATGTTTTATCACTTGTTTGCAAATAGTGATGGATCTAAACAGTGCGTGAGAAATGGGAGGTAAATGGGTTCGATCAAAGGGTAGAACGAGTCTAATGCCTTGGATCAAGAGCCCGGCACCAGCTTCAGGTTACCTCCATCGAGAGGTCAAACAAGTCCTCGATGGTGATGGTGCTATATCAAACTTCATATATTTACTAATTTGAACACAACTGACCCCCTTACGGATTTAGTGCATTTTGTGGGAGTGTAAAGAAAACATTAATATCCCCACTAATATTCCCATTAATATCTTCCCCCGGGGCAGAGACGTCGCTGCCCCCGGGGCAGAGACGTCGCTGGGGTCAGTGTGTAACCCCTTGACTTCCTCACATTAGTATTGTCTTTCACAGATGTTTATAGCCGATAAATTTCAGTCTTCTCTTTCTGACAGAGATCCCATCACGGGAAATGGAGGTCCTTGATGAAGGGATCTTGATCCAAAGAACTGGAGCTAATATCTCTTTCCTGTGATCAAAAATAATTAAATCCCATTCCCAGACTGTAGGACTTCTGCATATTCACTGCTTCCCATTAAAACACTACTACTACTACTACTACTCCTACTACTACTACTACTACTACTACTGCTACTACTACTACTATTACTACTGCTGCTGCTATTAGTATTACATAATACTGGTACTGCTAATAGAAATTCATAACCTTGAGTTCGAAGGCGTAGGCATATGTTCCTTGAGGACAGAATGCTTGGGGACCCCATTCTCCCCAGTTCATGGCCCAGTCTAGTGCGAGGGGAAAGTGAATATCTTCCTTCGGTTGCTTCGTTCCTTTACCAGCTACCACACCTGGTGAGAAACACATGTGAATTTTTTGTTCTCCTTCACTGATTGAGGAAAACTTGAATGTCTTTGTGTTGCTGCCTCACCAGCCACCATCAACACCATACCTGCGTTCACAACACGGGTCAACCTGGAGTTGAGGGAGAATTACTCCCATCTTGGCCGTCAATTTCTTTTTAACCTCGTAATTTCCTTCATAAACTGCAGAGAATCCATTTAGGAATGATTACCGAGGAATTTACCAGAGGTGATTACAAAGTACATCACCACGTCTTTTATCTGCCCTCACCCTACACGCACTCACAACAAGTGATTTGCTTTTATCTAATGCAGGAGTCCCCAACCTGTGACCTTTCTAGGAAATGGATCCTGCCCCCTCGCATGAAATTATAAATTCAGTTTTATGTAGGCTCCACACTGCACAGTGTCAACAGTTACAAAATATTATTATTCATAAAAATTACAAAATGCGGCCCTACTTTAAATTTGGCCCTTTCATACTAAAAGGTTGGGAACGACTGCCCTAAATCATCAAGCACTAACGTACCCAGTAGGTATGGAACTACAACTAACAGCCAGATGGGCGCCATTGATGATGTAATACCAGCGCCTGCGTCTATACGTCGGGCTTATATACTCACCTGTGGGGAAAAGCTCTTGGTATCAGGTGTTTCTCGGCTGGGATAAAAAAAAAAAAAAACACACACATGGTTAGGCTCTCACATGGTCCAAATCAATATTTAGTCAAACACCAGCATCCATATTACAGTGCGTGCGCGTATTGTGTTTGTGTTTATTCAATTAAGTTGGGCACATCTGCACTAAATTCCTACATTATTCTGTATGAAACACCTGCAGCGTCCTCTTTCACTATTATGTGTTACACAGTGGAAACACCTGCAACGCCCTCCTTCACTATTCTCTGTTACACTGTGGAAACATCTGCAGTGTGCTGCTTCACTATTCTGTTCTACACTGTGGGAACACCTGCAGTCTGCTGCTTCACTCTTCTATATGCTACAATACGGGAACACCTGCAGTGTGCTGCTTCACTATTCTGTTCTACACTGTGGGAACACCTGCAGTCTGCTGCTTCACTATTCTGTTCTACACTGTGGGAACACCTGCAGTGTGCTGCTTCACTATTCTGTTCTACACTGTGGGAACACCTGCAGTGGGCTACTTCACTGTCTATATTGTACACTGTGGGAACATCTGCAGTGCGCTGCTTCACTATCTATATTTTACACTGTGGCAATACCTGCAGTGGGCCATTACACTAATCTATATAATAGTTACATGGTGGAACACAGTGTGCAACTCACCCTAGATGGTAACCTCTTGTGTCGTCGAGGACACGTCGTGTGACCTTGTATCGCCGAGGTCACATCGTGTGCCCTTGTATCATCGAGGTCACGTCGTATGACCTTGGAGGAACGAGACACTCGCGGTGTATATCTTTGGTGGTACATTTGTCATGATTATTTGCAGGTCCTTCCACCCCCCCCCCTCGTTACTTACTGGTTCACCCATTATTTCTCACACACACTAGCGCCACCTTCCTCCTCAGTTTTCATCCTCACTCGTTTGGTTGTAGTCACTTGTCTGAATATTACAACAGTAAAACAATACCGACAGGTTGGTAAGTAAGACACCTCTTCAACAGTTAGGTATCTTTATTTCGAAATGTTTCGCCTACACAGTAGGCATCTTCAGTCGAGTTCTGAAAAGTGGGCAGAAGCAGTAGAGATGTGATGACGATGTAATCGTTTTCACATCTCTACTTTCTGTACTCATCTGTAGACGCCTACTGTGTAGGCGAAACATTTCGAAATAAAGATACCTAATTGTTGCACAGGTGTCTTACTTACCAGTCAGTTGCCTAACCACTCCTCCAGTGTGTCCGGGCTCCCCAGGAGCTCCTCCTGGGTTTCTCTCCACTAGTTATCCATCAGGAACACAGACACGATAAATGACTCTCCTCCGGAACATTAAGTTTATTAGGAGTAATATTTTTTTTTTTTTTTTTTATATTTTATTTAAAAACAACATACACATGATACAAGCCGACAATTACCAAATCCAAAACCGTGACGGACAATGTCAGTACACACACAATATAAAAAAAAAAAAAAAAAAAAAAAAAAAAAAAAAAAAAAAAAAAACATTTTAACATAAGATATAACGAAATTCTACCGTAAGAAACCCAACCCGTTTACGGGAAAAAAAAAAACATACCGACTACAAAATAGAACGTCGGAGTCATAAAACATGTAGGAATAAGTCCTATAATCATGTATATATGTATATACATACACATGCACATATACACATACATGTATGTGCACATATGTTCTTACAGCACAGACTGGATTATACTAGAACAAACAAACAAACAAACAAAAAAAGACTTATCACTAAAAAAAAAAAACTAGACAAACTAAATACATAACATCCAAAACAGAAGTGGCAGACAATGTCAGGTACACACAAAACATTGTAACACATTGATATAACAAATTCTACTAAAGTAACCCAACCAACCGACTTCCAAACAAACAGTCGGAGTCATTATAAAACATGTAGGAATGAGTCCTACAAACATATATATATGTATACATATACGCATGCATATATACACATACGTGTATGTGCATTTGTTCGTACAGAACAAACTGGATCATACTGGGAAATAAAGCCCCCTAAATGATTTTTCACCAAAAAAACCCTAAAAAAATATTACATCCAATGTTAGAACTTACCAAAGGGGTTTTTGGGTTTCCCCACAAACACCCTAAAACACAAAAAATTAATGTTCCCGATTAAACCCCAATATATAATGGGCCCCTTCCAGTCAAATGAAGGTATATTTTCCCCCTAAAAAATATTTTTTATTTTTTCGTACAAGGTATTTTGTCCCCATTAAATTACGTTTAAAAAAAAAGAGACGTTTTTGACAAGGTTAAAAAAATCTAAATCGATTCGAATGTAAAAAAACATACCCTCAAAATTTATAATAAAAATAAAAAACCTCCTTTAAAAGGGTTCTTAAAAACAATAAGAAAAAAAACAAAAAAACCCAACTTTCTATTTTTGATCTGGGGATTTTAAAAAAATCAAAAAGGTTTAAATTTACCCCGGAGCCCCCGACGGCCCCCGCAAAAAAAATTTAAAAACCCACATCTACCCCCTTGAAAAAAATAAACCCTTTCCTCATCAGGCTTCCAATCACTCCAAGGGGGCACACCACTGAAGAGCCCAAACCCCCTTTTCCCTCTCCCCCCGCCCACCAAAGGGAAATTTGGACTTTTTAAAACAGTAAGTTCCGTTATCCCCCCGGAAAACTAAATTTCCCCCCTTTCCCCCCAAAATAATTGTTTGTTCCTACATGCGGGTCCTATAAAAACACGCCCCCAACGTTTTTTTCCCTAATGTTTCCTCCACCCCCCTCATCCCCAAAAAAAAATTGAAAATTTAATTCAACAAATTCTTTATCTGAAAAGCCCTCCCCCCCTTTTTGGGTACCCCCCCATATCTAACTTTAAAAGCCCTGGGGGGTTTTTATTTTTGGTTACCCCCCCCCCCAAATTTAAAAAGGGAAAACCCCTTTCTTCAACCACAATCTTCCCACCTCCAAAAGCAAAAAAAAAATATACTACATAAAAACCCTTTTTTTAACTTCCCCCCCAAAAAAACCGTTGTGCCTCTCTCAAAAAACCCCATTCTTTCCTTTAGAACCTCTTTCGATGCTAACGCCCCCTAAGAAATTTTAAAAAATTTTTCCCCTCGCTTTTGGGCCGGTATTTTAATTTACTAAATTCCCCCCAAATTCATCCCCCTTTCTTTATGGGGGGTACACTGCCATCCCTTGCATTTTTCCCTTTGAAAACGACCCCACCCCATACCGTTTTACCGGGTTTTTTTTTAACATTGCGTCCCTTTTTAAACAAAACCCCGCAACATTTTTCACCCCTCCACAAAGTCCCTCCCGCCCCCCATTTGCGGATATCCCACCATCACCTCCCCCCCCGAACCCCCCTTTTCCCCCCGCGCCCGAATATACCTCTGTTTCACATATAGCCCCTTCACCCAAACCCCTTTAATGCCATAAACCCCAAATTTCCTCCCTGTTTTTCCGCAGTCTTTTCCCCATTTTCCCCCCCCCACGCCCCCCCAAAACCCCACACATATTAAGGCTTTTCCTTTGGGAAATTTCCCCCATAAAACCTGATTTCCCTTAAAGGGGGTTTTTAAAATTTCCCCCTTTCCCCCAACACCTTACTTTTAAAATCGGGCTTTAATTTCCCACCCCAACCCTTTGACCCAAGGTTAATCCCCGGCCCCTTGGGACCCCTGAGCCTACTAAAAGTTTCTGCCCAATTCCCATTTTGAATTAACCCTCCTGCTCTCCTGTAATCTGTTTTAAATAAAAAAATCCCACAAATCTTTAGCCAAAATCTACAGTTACCCCACCCAAACCCCTTTCCCCAAGGTCCCTCCAAACCCAAAACCCTTCCTCGGGAAACCCTTTGTTTTTCTGTTTTTAAACCCTCTCTTCGTAGTTTCCCCCAAAAATCTCAATTCCCCTTCCCATTTACTTAAATCTTCTATTTTTAAAGTAAAAAAGTTGTATCATTTTCAAAACCCAAAAAATTTTCCCCACAAAACCCACCTCTCTCCCCCATCCTTCCCTTCCCACCTTCAACCAGAAACAAGAAAGGATTCTGAACATCCCAAAAGGTTTTTGGGAGAGGGGAAACCCCCCTCCCTTTTAAAAACCCCTCCCCATGCTTACTGAACTCCCCAACCTACCATTTACCTTTCTCTACCCGATGCATTCTTTTACAATGTCTCCCCCAAACCCAACCACCCTCCCCCAAAAACCCATTCTCCCCAATACTCTCCAAAAAAAAGTCCCTACCCAAACATAACTTTAGCTTTCTCCCAATCAAAACCTAGAATACCCCCCTTATTTTTTTCCCCTAAAGGGAAAATCCCAAATTCGTCCATGACCTCCCCGCAAAATCCCCCCCGGGATACCAAATTGTCCCCATTTTAATCCCCGCCCCCATAAACCTTCTTCGTCTATTCCCCAAAAATTTTTGCAAAAACCTTGTAATCTGCACACATCAAAGATATTGCTGGGGTTAAGCACTCAAACTCTTTTTCCCCCCCTCTTCTTTGGCCCCCAAAAACCCATGAACCCTTTAACTTTGCGTTTGTCCCCAACTTCCCACTATTTTAAATATGACCCTTTCCCTAAACAAAGCATGCCCTAATACCCCCCCAAAATTGTGCTCTATAAAAATCTTTTGGGGGGTTTATTTTCCCGTCTATCCCGGGGTTTTCCCCCGGGGTACTCATCCCAAAAACTGCCTCTTTTCCACCTAAACCCTCACTTATAACCAACCCCCAAACCCCAAATTTTTCCCTTGCTCATTTTTAAACGTAGGGAAACCCCCCCTTAAAAAAATACCCTCCCGGAAAACCCCCCTCCCCAACCCCAAATTTTCCCTAAACCAACTATCAGCTTTGAAAACTATACTTTCCATTTTGGGGTTTAGGCCCTCAAACCCCAGGATCCCCTCCCCCCCCAGGGCTTGTCTCCAATTTTTGAATGGTGGTTCCCACTCTGT